CTCTTGTGATGTATGTTAACCTGTGTGCGGCTAGCAGTAACAGTCTGGTTGATGAAGCCTTGATTCACCTTGAGGTCTGATACAGCTTGTTTCCCCACGTGGCCAGGTAATACCTGCCCCCCCCCCCGACAGACAGCAGCTGGCCTCACCCGACAGGCATGGCCTTACCTGACAAGCATGGCCTTACCTGACAGGCATGGCCTTACCTGACAGGCATGGCCTCACCTGACAGGCATGGCCTTACCTGACAGGCATGGCCTTACCTGACAGGCATGGCCTCACCTGACAGGCATGGCCTTACCTGACAGGCATGGCCTCACCCGACAGGCATGGCCTCACCCGACAGACAGCAGCTGGCCTCACCCAACAGCTCGGCTCAGCTATCTTTTAATAAAACATCACTTAACATAATCTCTCCGATAAATCAAAGTTCCTCTTGTGCATCATGATCCCTTTTCAGGTATCCCCCAGAGAATTAGTTAAGAGTATCATCCCAGTCTACATAGCAATATGTTAAGTATTCTGCAGCGTCGACAGTCATGTGGGGCCACCACAAGTAGGTGGTAATTCCGCTGGGTGGGAGTGGGTGGGCGCTACATGACACCTCTTCAATGGGATTGCAACTCAGTTATCCTTAGATGCTCGACCACAGCAGGTTGGGTCTTTATAGTTCTACCCACACCCACTACCCACCAACTATCCACACCCACTACCCACCCACTACCCACCCACATGCTGAACTAAGTGACTACTGTGGGCTTGTATAATCGTGGTTTTGATGGTATGGTGATGGGTTTTGATGGTATGGTGATGGGTTTTGATGGTATGGTGATGGGTTTTGATGGTATGGTGAGGGGTTTTGATGGTATGGTGATGGGTTTTGATGGTATGGTGATGGGTTTTGATGGTATGGTGATGGGTTTTGATGGTATGGTGATGGGTTTTGATGGTATGGTGAGGGGTTTTGATGGTATGGTGAGGGTTTTGATGGTATGGTGATGGGTTTTAATGGTATGGTGATGGGTTTTGATGGTATGGTGATGGGTTTTGATGGTATGGTGATGGGTTTTGATGGTATGGTGATGGGTTTTGATGGTATGGTGATGGGTTTTAATGGTATGGTGATGGGTTTTGATGGTATGGTGATGGGTTTCATGGTATGGTAACAATTTCGTGATGGTTTTGATGTTTTTATGACAGTTTTGGAATGGTTTTTATGATTTAATAAGTTTATTGAGGCACAGGTACACAAACTTACGATTATCATACATAAAAAATACCACAGTGAAAATAGAAAATTAAACCTGAGCGCTTTCGTGTGCTTATCCATCTTCAGAGGAATAGGAAGATGAGGCATGAGGAAAATGTGCTTCTCTTGCCTCTTCTTCCTGTTCCTCTGAAGATGTATAAGCACACGAAAGCGCTCAGGTTTTATTTCCCGTTTTCATTATGGTACTGTTTTCATATCTGGAATCACGTGTTTTATTGTGGTTTCTTCCACCCGCGAAACCCTCTCCAGGTATACTCCAGGTATCCTACATAGTGTAAATTACCTTGTATAGCCAAGAAAAAGGCCATTTGGTTCCTTCGTAATATTTTCGTGGGTTTACGATATTTTTAAAGGCTAGATGAGGATTTTGATGGTTTCGTGATCGTTTTAACGATTTCGTTGTTGATTCGTGCAGCCTGACTTGCGTGCCGAGTGGATCCAATCAAGTCGCAGGTAGCGGCTGAAAAGATGAGAGAGAGAGAGAGAGAGAGAGAGAGAGAGAGAGAGAGAGAGAGAGAGAGAGAATTATAGTGTTAAATCCTGGGTTACGTACTTTCAGAACTGCTTTGTTAAGGAAGATGGATGTAGGGGATATCTGAAGTACTTCAACGAGAAGAAACGTTGCTCGAAACGTCGACTAAAACGTTCCAGTTCTCTGAAACGTTGGTTAAAACGTTCCAATTCTCTGTAACGTTGGTTAAAACGTTCCAGTTTTGTGAAACGTTCACTCTGTACAGGGCTAACACATTGGCCATCTCCCATGCCTTCTCTCTGTCACTCCCCTCCCCTTTCTCTCCCTTCATCACCCCCTTCTCTCCCCTCTTCTCTCCCCTCCTTCCTTCCCTGGGCGGGACCACTCATCAGGGCATCACTTGGCAGTATTGTTGTTGGTGCATGTGTTTAAGGTATTAAAGTCATATCACATGTCAAGTTTGGCCGCCCTCTACAAAGCTGCTTCACGACGTGGTCGGCACAGTCTTGCGGGCGGCAGGAAGGGTGGTGGGTGGCGCGTGCCCCACCCGCACCAACCCACGCCCACAGGGAACGGTATAACCGCCTTCCAGCCCGTCGGCCTCTGGATGGTCGTGACACTGTTTGGCACTCGGTTGCAAGCTGCGAAATTCGGTCCCTGGACCGTCAGCCGCAAGGTTCAAGTTTCGGTCCCTGGATCATTAACTGCAAGGTCCGAGATTCGGTCTCTGGACTGAAGAAACAGACAAGATTCTTCACACCTCTGCTTACCTAGTAGTCAGAATAGGTACCTTGTAACAGTCAACTGTTGTGGGCCGCATCCAGGAATGAAAAACTCCAGTACCTGCTGGAATGTTATATACTGTGCTCCATGGCCTGGTGGCTATAGCTCTCGCTTCACACGGCGAGGGTCTGCGTTCGATTCCCAGCCAGGGTAGAAACATTGGGCGTGTTTCTTTACACCGGTTGTCTGTGTTCACCCTGGGAGTTAGTCGACTGGTGTGGGTCGCATCCTGGGACAAGGACCTAATTTGCCCGAAATGCTCTGCATAACAAGGGGCTTTCTATCTAATACTGTGTCAGTGACGTCAGCTATGGTCTGTATACCATGTACTTGTACTAAATAAATTTATTATTATTATTATTATTATTATTATTATTATTATTATTATTATTATTATTAAGACACTCCAGTACTTTCTGGAATGTTATATCCTACTCAGAGCGAAATGTTGCCTCAGTGAAAGCTTGTACCGATATTAAAGAGATATATACATCTTTCTGCGTATATATTGAGATATACACCTAGTATATACACTTTGTGTTACCCCCTGAGTACCGCTTTCTACTCTTAAACACACACAAGGGGTGAGAAATAAGCACCCACTGAGAAAGTTGAAGAGGGCTCCTCCCACTGAAACAGAAGGTGTCAATAATGCCAAGTGGGGATACAAAGCCTTCCCGCCCACCCTTACACACTGTGGAAAACACTGAGCTTGGGGGAGGCTGCCATCGATTGGTTTATCTGCAATTGCAAGGTTTCATTGAACGGGTTTAATGGCTGTTAAACGATATGAACATGGTTGTTGAATGTCTGGCGCCGCGGGGAAACTTAACCCAAGTGGCAGACACGACTGCCAATTGTTGGCTGAGTTCTTGATGTGCCAGAACTGGCCCAGTTGTTTGGTGGATGGTGGGGGGTAGTGCTTTTGTTGTGGGTGGGGGGCTGTGTTTATGTTGGTGGTGCTTTGGTTTATGGTTTAGGTTTTGTTTTTGTTGTGGGATGGTGCTTTGGTGGGGATGGGGTGTGTGTGTGTGTGGGGATACCTGGAGGTTATTCCGGGGATCAACGCCCCCGCGGCCCGGTCCACGACCAGGCCTCCCGGTGGATCAGGGCTTGATCAACGAGGCTGTTACTGCTGGCCGCACGCAATCCAACGTACGAACCACAGCTCGGCTGATCCGGCACCGTCTTTAGGTAGTGGTGGGACTTTGTGGATGGTGTGTGTGTGTGTGTGTGTGTGTGTGTGTGTGTGTGTGTGTGAATACCTGGAGGTTATTCCGGGGATCAACGACCCCGCGGCTCGGTCCATGACCAGGCCTCCCGGTGAATCAGGGCCTGATCAACCAGGCTGTTGTGTGTGTGTGTGTGTGTAGTGTTGGTTTGTTTGTTATTTTAGCGTTAAGTTCTAATATGTGATTCCTAGCTTTCTGTCTCCTGTGCCGCTCCATGTTGCATGTCATACTGCCTGCAGTAGGCCGCTGCCTGACGGTCTTCACTGTGTCCTTCACTCTGCATAGCCTGCCTTTTTTTTCTCTTATTAATGTCATTCCTTTGTGATATATATATATATATATATATATATATATATATATATATATATATATATATATATATTATATATATATATATATATATATATAATTAATAATAATAATAATAATAATAATAATAATAATAAATTGCACTTGTTATAATAAGGTTAGGTAAGTTTTCTAAGATTCTTTTGATGCAAAATTAAAAATTTTTACATTAACAATATATATATATATATATATATATATATATATATATATATATATATATATATATATATATATTTATATATATTGTTTTCAACCTTAAAATGTTTTATCAGTGGAGGTTAAATTTGCAAAAAAATTACAAATTGATAAAAATTTACAAGTTTTCTCAAGTTTTTTGAAATATACGACATATTTTTTTTTTTTGTCAAAGGCACTTGTGTATAGTTGAAGAACGTTTCGCCACGACTGGTGAAGCTAATCTTGGTGAAACGTTTCCCTGTCAAGAATAAAAAGATGACTGAAGTAGTTACCAATAAAACAATAAACATTTATTGTGGCAACGTTTCGCTCTCCAGGATCTTTATAAAGATCCTGGAGAGCGAAACGTTGCCACAATAAATGTCACATTAGTTGCACTTGTGTCCTTTTACTTTACATTTAAAAGTCACACTGTGTGACTTGTAAATTTCTCAAAGTAGGACCGAAACGTCGCCGTAAGCTTCTATGTGCGGGTTATTTGTGTAAATTGTTCCCCCTTAATAAATGTCCTTAGGTTTCGTACACAAGACGCCATTTCCACCTTGTACCATCCAGCCATTTACAACCACTATGTAAACACACTTGTATGAATTTACACGAATACAGTTAACTGTTTACTTCGTGTGTCTGTAAAATGAATCTTGCAGGTATTCTAATCTTACGTGAGAGAGACGTTTGTTTATACCAATAATAGTTTCTCTTGTTTCAGGTAAGCAGGATGGTTCACTTCACGGTAATGTACACTATTGTTCCTCTTACAAATGGTTCGCAGTATATAGGGTGACCGAAACGTCTGGGGATCCCCATGATTTCCATCCTTACTCGTCTGTCTTGCCATCTTGCCAGACCTCTGGTCGTGACTCGAGGCTAAATTGCATTTTTCCAATATACGGTAACTTTATTGAATAATATCTGCAACGTGTTGCCCAAAGTTCAAAACGCTTTGCAAGATGCAAGATGAAGATTGAGACATGCAACATATGGATATTTTTATTGAAACGTTTCGCCAGACAGTGGCTTTATCAGTCCAGTACACCCTTCTGCTTTGTATTGGACTGATGAAGCTACTGTGTGGCGAAACGTTTCCTCAATCAAGATTCCCATATGTTGCATAAATGTCCGAATCTTCAACTAGTCGGTTTTAAACCATTTGTCAGAAGATTTAACATACAATAACTCCAGTAACTGCGGGGGAAAAATATTAGTGATACTCCCTGTATGTCTGGACTTTTGGGTCTCCCTATATATATATATATATATATATATATATATATATATATATATATATATATATATATATATATATATTAAATGCATCATTTATTTTTCAGGTATGTCTTAAGGAAATTGTCTCTCCTCTCACAGCTGACCCAAACATTGGAGGTGGAATGTTAGGTGGTTCAGGTCTGGGTCATTGTTGTGAGGTATGTGTTGTTGTGATGACTTGAGACGTAGGCTCCAGGAAAGGCTTTTGTTGGGACGCTTGTTTAAGCTTTACACAGAGGGAAACGTTGTCGTCATAAAAGGTTATTAAATCGTGACCTGACGATGGTTCACGAGGTCTCGAAATGCTTAGTTTTTACCCTTGTCTGTATTGTTCCACCCAGGGTGTTGTGTACTGTTCCACCCAGGGTGTTGTGTATTGTTCCACCCAGGGTGTTGTGTATTGTTCCACCCAGAGTGTTGTGTATTGTTCCACCCAGGGTGTTGTGTATTGTTCCACCCAGGGTGTTGTGTATTGCTCCACCCAGGGTGTTGTGTATTGTTCCACCCAGGGTGTTGTGTATTGTTCCACCCAGGGTGTTGTGTATTGTTCCACCCAGGGTGTTGTGTATTGTTCCACCCAGGGTGTTGTGTATTGTTCCACCCAGGGTGTTGTGTATTGTTCCACCCAGGGTGTTGTGTATTGTTCCACCCAGGGTGTTGTGTATTGTTCCACCCAGGGTGTTGTGTATTGTTCCACCCAGGGTGTTGTGTATTGTTCCACCCAGGGTGTTGTGTATTGTTCCACCCAGGGTGTTGTGTATTGTTCCACCCAGGGTGTTGTGTATTTTATTCCTTTAAAGATAATTTCAACCTGAACTATCCATGTTAAAAGTTTTGCACTCTGGCATATGTGCGGGGTCCCAAATGGTCCCAAATCTGTGTGCAGATTTGGGACCATTCCTTCTAGGATTTTCCAAGTGTAGATTATGATATATCTCTCCCTCCTGCGTTCCAACGAGTACAAGTCAAGTGCTTCCAAGCGTTCCCAGTAGTTAAGGTGCTTGACAGAACTTACACGTGCAGTAAAGGATCTCTGTACACTTTCTAGATCTGCGATTTCACCTGCTTTGAATGGAGATGTTAATGTACAGCAGTATTCCAGCCTAGAGAGAACAATTGATTTGAAAAGGATCATCATGGGCTTGGCATCTCTCGTTTTGAAAGTTCTCATTATCCATCCTATCAATTTCTTTGCACGTGCGATCGTGGCACTGTTGTGATCCTTGAAAGTGAGATCCTCAGACATTACTACTCCCAGGCCCCTTACATTATTTTTCCGCTCTATTGTATGGCCGGAGTCAGTAGTATACTCTGTTCTAGTTATTATCTCCTCCAGTTTTGGAGTAGTTGGAATTTGTCCTCATTGAACATCATATTGTTTACCGTTGCCCACTGGAAAACTTTGTTTATATCTTCTTGGAGGTTAACCGCGTCCTCAGCAGATGACAGCCTCATGCAGATCCTAGTATCATCCGCAAAGGATGATACGGTGCTGTGGTGTATATCTCTGTTTATGTCTGATATGAGGATAAGGAATAAGATGGGGGCGAGTACTGTGCCTTGTGGAACAGAGCTCTTCACTATGGCAGCCTCCGATTTAACTCTGTTGACCACTACTCTTTGTGTTCGATTGGTTAGAAAGTTGAAGAGGGAGAGAGCACCTCCCGGGATATACACATGTTGAGTGAGCCCCTGTGTGAAGGAGAGAGAGCACCTCCCGGGATACGCAAACACTATATCTCTCACTTAGGTATGTCTAATTCAGTGTCGGGTTTGAGGCAGCCAAGTTGTGTTGTGTTGTGGCGACGTTGTAGGTTAAGACCAACTACCGCATCTGTTGTACATGCTTCACTTCACTCTTCCTTCTCCTCCTCCTCCTTAATCTTCATCTACATATTTTTTCTCCGTTATTCCTCATTTTCTTCTTAACCGAACGTCAATGCGGGTATTTAACTTTCATTAATGCCTTCACTAGGCCTAATAGAGGAAATAAAACCCACTTTTATTCATATATGAAGGACACGGCCTGCACTCTGGGTGTTATTACAGTACTGGTATATAGTACCGGCAAATTGATGAATAAGAGGCATGTCGATTGTCAGGTGATCAGGGAGTAAATAAGAGGCATGTTGATTGTTAGGTGATCAGGGAGTAAATAAGAGGCATGTTGATTGTCAGGTGATCAGGGAGTAAATAAGAGGCATGTTGATTGTCAGGTGATCAGGGAGTAAATAAGAGGCTTGTTGATTGTTAGGTGATCAGGGAGTAAATAAGAGGCATGTTGATTGTCAGGTGATCAGGGAGTAAATAAGAGGCATGTTGATTGTCAGGTGATCAGGGAGTAAATAAGAGGCTTGTTGATTGTTAGGTGATCAGGGAGTAAATAAGAGGCATGTTGATTGTCAGGTGATCAGGGAGTAAATAAGAGGCATGTTGATTGTCAGGTGATCAGGGAGTAAATAAGAGGCATGTTGATTGTCAGGTGATCAGGGAGTAAATAAGAGGCATGTTGATTGTCAGGTGATCAGGGAGTAAATAAGAGGCATGTTGATTGTCAGGTGATCAGGGAGTAAATAAGAGGCATGTTGATTGTCAGGTGATCAGGGAGTAAATAAGAGGCTTGTTGATTGTTAGGTGATCAGGGAGTAAATAAGAGGCATGTTGATTGTCAGGTGATCAGGGAGTAAATAAGAGGCTTGTTGATTGTTAGGTGATCAGGGAGTAAATAAGAGGCATGTTGATTGTCAGGTGATCAGGGAGTAAATAAGAGGCATGTTGATTGTCAGGTGATCAGGGAGTAAATAAGAGGCATGTTGATTGTCAGGTGATCAGGGAGTAAATAAGAGGCATGTTGATTGTCAGGTGATCAGGGAGTAAATAAGAGGCATGTTGATTGTCAGGTGATCAGGGAGTAAATAAGAGGCATGTTGATTGTCAGGTGATCAGGGAGTAAATAAGAGGCATGTTGATTGTCAGGTGAGGGAGGAAACATCTCAGATTTACCTCTCAACTTCGTGGTCCCAGATTATTCAACATCTTACCAGAAGATATCAGAAACACTGCTGGAACAAGTGTAGAAGTCTTCAAGAGGAAACTGGACAAGTATCTTCACCAGGTTGTGATGGATATGTGGGCCAGCGGGCCTCCAGAAGCACCAGCCTGGTTGACCAGGTTAGCACAAGACGAGCGTGGCCCATGACCGGGCTCCGGGAGTAGTAAGACTCTCGAAACTCATCAAAGGTATATCAACGGAGGTAATCACAGAAGTGATTTTAGTACTGATTCGAGTATTAGAATCACATTTGTGTTCCACTGAAGGTTCTAAAGTGTAGCACATGTCTCAGTTACCATCCTTGGCAGTGGTTGTTGTGAGTGGGGCCACTGGGGGCGACGACCCCCCACTACCAGCAAATAGTATAGGTGGATGCCTGTGCCAAGCAGTGCCAGACGTACTAGTGGAGGGATGAGGGCCACCCACATTACACACACACACTTTGTCAATGCCAGTTCTGTGGCCAGGTACAGCTGGTGCCGGTTATCTTACCATGGTGTTACACTTTGTGTGAAGCGTTTTGTTCACGTTCGTTGATCTTTGTAGTCTGTAAGTTTTTCCTCTGTACTCGCTTGTTTATGGTTGCAGGGATCGATTCGCAACTCCTGGCTCTTGTTTCTTCGCTGGTTGCTGCTAGGTCTACTCTCTCCCGGCTCTAAGAACCACCTTGTTGTACCTCTTCTTAAAGCTATGTATGCATCTCTCTCCTTCTGCTTCGGTCTCCAGATTGTTCCATTTACTGACAACCCTAAGATTGAAAAAATACTTCTAGGCTTGCTGGTTCATCTTTTCCTCTCTCTGGTTGTATCACTAACATGTTGATGCATGCATCTTAGCTATCCACGTTTCTGGTCTCCCATGTGGCTTTGGGTTCTCCCAATCAATCTTGTGAATAAAGCCACTGATGACCAGTAGCTTTGCCCGGCTCATATGGGTCCTCCTGACCACCTCAGCTTGTGTATCCATCATTGCTCTTCTGTTTTTATCATACTCTTGTCTTCTCTTCTTGATATTTAGTGGTGGGTTGTACATCACCATCGCCATCTTGGAACCCCCGGTCTTAAGTGTACTACTATATGGTCATCTGCTGCCTCTCTCTACGTTCCTTCCATTTCCTCTAAACTCCATCAGTTTTTGATGTGCAGTGCTACTTCTCTGTTCCTATTGTCTTTCCTCAGTATTAGATAGCCAGTCGGGAAGATCGCGTCTGTTATCATCTCCGTATGTTTTGTCTCTGTGAGTACTGTAATATCTGGGAATCCCTCCGTGATGTGTGTGTGTATTTTGCGTATATATATATTTTAATTCTAGCAGTCCTGGGTGACCTACACGATCAAAGTGCTCTAATATCACAACAACCAGGCTGTGATGGATATGCCGCCAGCAACAAC